AATAAAAAATTATACTTCAGATGTTAATTTAGTATCAAAAACGTAAAATATTTGAGTAGCCCAAGACATAGCCAAAGATTGAAGCGCCACAGCACTGGCGAAAATTTAAATTTGCCGACTGGAATTCTTTCGGATGATTGACTTTCAGAAAATCGACGCTCTACTGTATCTCCAAATGATGAAAATAAAAAATAAAGAAGCATATACTATCTTATATAGAAAAATAAAGCTTTAACACAATTTAGAAAAATATCTACAGAAACAAATTTAATTAACTATAAGAAAAATAAAACAATATCTGCAGTTGTATAATGGGGGAGGAAGCAGATGCAACAACAACCGCACATGCCAGAAACGACCCACCCCCTCGGAACTGACACCCGATCCCAACAAATAATATACACTCTATCCGGGGAATTTCAGTCGACCTGAAGAAGAGCGAAGGGATCGCTCGAAAACGTTTGTCAACAGCGTTATACAGTATATACGCGTCGAGCGCCGGTCACAGGTTCCAGATAGTGCAACGTTGATTTCACCCTGATGCTGAGAGTAGAACAGTTCCTATATGTAATAGACATCTTGAGAAGGGTAAAGAACAGATATATGGTTTTGTGTAAGAAACTATCAGCTTCTCTATTTACTTCAAGTTGATCTTATGGTCTGCTCTTTTGGGGCCTTTTTGTTTTGAAGCCATCAACTCTATAGAACTGATGTTCTATCATTGTCTTTTTGGTCTTGAGAGGTCAACCCCATCATATGCAATTAGATCTGATTTGGACCTTGAGTTTCCCTGGAAACGTTTTGTTACATTAACCCTAAACTTTCTGAGAAACATAATTTCTGGCCCATCTTCTTTGGAATATGAGGCTTATTTAACCCTGAAGAAGTTCTCATCAACCAGATCACTAAATTATAATTGGTCACAAAACTGAAGGGTCTTTTTAATAGAATAGGTATCTCATTTTCTATAAATAAAATACTTTCCTTACTGGAACCACACAATAAATAAAAATCAACACCTTTAAACATCCAGCAAATCGTTTTTTAATATTTTAAAAACGCTTTCGAACGCTTTAAGCGATCATCATCAGTTAACATTTGTGAATCGAATGAAGAAATTCGTTCGATTCACAAATTTCTTCGTTCGATTCACAAATGTTAACTGATGATGATCACTTAAAGCGTTCGAAAGCGTTTTTAAAATATTAAAAAACGATTTGCTGGATGTTTAAAGGTGTTGATTTTTATTTATTGTGTGGTTCCAGTAAGGAAAGTATTTTATTTATAGAAAATGAGATACCTATTCTATTAAAAAGACCCTTCAGTTTTGTGACCAATTATAATTTAGTGATCTGGTTGATGAGAACTTCTTCAGGGTTAAATAAGCCTCATATTCCAAAGAAGATGGGCCAGAAATTATGTTTCTCAGAAAGTTTAGGGTTAATGTAACAAAACGTTTCCAGGGAAACTCAAGGTCCAAATCAGATCTAATTGCATATGATGGGGTTGACCTCTCAAGACCAAAAAGACAATGATAGAACATCAGTTCTATAGAGTTGATGGCTTCAAAACAAAAAGGCCCCAAAAGAGCAGACCATAAGATCAACTTGAAGTAAATAGAGAAGCTGATAGTTTCTTACACAAAACCATATATCTGTTCTTTACCCTTCTCAAGATGTCTATTACATATAGGAACTGTTCTACTCTCAGCATCAGGGTGAAATCAACGTTGCACTATCTGGAACCTGTGACCGGCGCTCGACGCGTATATACTGTATAACGCTGTTGACAAACGTTTTCGAGCGATCCCTTCGCTCTTCTTCAGGTCGACTGAAATTCCCCGGATAGAGTGTATATTATTTGTTGGGATCGGGTGTCAGTTCCGAGGGGGTGGGTCGTTTCTGGCATGTGCGGTTGTTGTTGCATCTGCTTCCTCCCCCATTATACAACTGCAGATATTGTTTTATTTTTCTTATAGTTAATTAAATTTGTTTCTGTAGATATTTTTCTAAATTGTGTTAAAGCTTTATTTTTCTATATAAGATAGTATATGCTTCTTTATTTTTTATTTTCATCATTTGGAGATACAGTAGAGCGTCGATTTTCTGAAAGTCAATCATCCGAAAGAATTCCAGTCGGCAAATTTAAATTTTCGCCAGTGCTGTGGCACTTCAATCTTTGGCTATGTCTTGGGCTACTCAAATATTTTACGTTTTTGATACTAAATTAACATCTGAAGTATAATTTTTTATTGTTTTTATATTTTTCAATATATTTATTTTGTTTGTACAAAATAAAAAAATAATTTTTAACAATACAATAGTCTTTGTTAGGCTTAACATCGATGAAAATTCAACGCGAAGCGACACGCAACTGATAAAAATTTTAACATCGGATACGTTAAACTATTTTTTCGTACATAAATCGGTTATCCTAAATATCAGTTATATGAACAACCCCAGTCCCCAATTGATTTGGAAAATCAACGCTCTACTGTATTATTCATGTTTCTGTTAGTCCTAATATGTCGGAGTTATCTATCAATTGCAGAAAGTCATTACTTGCTATTTTGTTTTTTAAGCCTTGACAGTTCCAATTAGTTATATTTAAATTAAGTTTTTTTGTAAAATTTTGATAGTTATGTTTACTTTCTTTTTCTATATGACTTATTTTGTTCGATTTTTCAGTGGAGTATATGGTAAAAATTCTTCTGCATAAAACTAGTTGATTTTGTGTATAACTATAGGTAATTTTTTAATGATTTATTATTAAATAGTCATCATGTAATTTTAATTGTATTCCTTGTTTTTTAAAGTCATTATAGTATGGTAAACGTAGTTTTCTTCTTTTATGAGAATTTACAGTTTGAAGAAAGATTTCCACTTCCAGTGTGGAAATCTTTCTTCAAACTGTAAACTTATTCACTTCTCTTCTCCCTCTCTCCTTCGTTATGTAACCCTTTTTCACACATGTATGGCAATCTCCTGTTGTTTCAACAGTTGCAGAATTAGTTAGCTCCATGATGTCCATTCAACACATGAACAAAAACATTAGAACCTCCCAAATTTTTTTTTGTGCTGGTTATTTGGTTCTTTATAGCTTTGTAAAAAGATAAAAATTAGTAAAATATACTATAATATTTTTCTGTGTTCGTTCATCATAAAATTTATTTCTTTTATGAAATATTCAAATTAGAAAAATATACATATATAAATTTATGTATAACTGTTTTTTATTTTAAGATTTATATTTTGTATATATATACTGTATATGTGACATATTCACATTATAATTATAAATTGTTATAAAAAATTTTAAAATTAAAAAAATTGTTATATTTATATTAAATATTTAATTTGGTATGATTCAAGAATTTAAAAATTCTAATTTAAATATGACAAATGACTGTTAGGTTAAATTGAAGTTTTTAAAAATTTGTTTTATTTTAAAAAAATAATTATGCTCAGCTATGTCCTTGAACAAATTTAAATTATTTAGAATTAAGATTCTATATTATTAAATGTACTATTCCAGACTACTATCAATTTGTAGTCTACAAAATTGTGAATATCACATTTAAAAGAATCCCAGTGTTTTCGAAATTTGAATGATGATATCAACTAAATAAATGTGTTATAGGAATTTGTTGTTATATCTTTTTGATTTTTTTTTTAATCAGAACATATATTGAAATCAGAAATTTAGATATCTCTGAATGAAAAAAAAATTGTATTTAAATCTATAGATTTAGATGAATTTTTGCATGCATGCTATAAATGTTCTTAAATAGGCAATATGTAATGAATTATTTAATGTAATAAGCACCTTTATGAATATATAATCTGAAAATATAATAAGTTACTTACAGGAATGCATCTGTAAATATGGAGAATACTGAATCTTAGGTAAAATATTGATTAAAACTTGTAGTCTAGAATTACCCTAATTATTATAATTATTTATAATTTTAATATCTTAAAATAATAATTTTTTCCAGATTCTTAGATTACTTTTACTGTAAAATAAATTTTTATTTCAGTGGATCATACATGTATAAATAGTTAAGATGACAATCTCTTGAAAGGAGTTAATTAAATTTTGAATAGTTGACAATAATAATTATATATTTTTTATCAGAATGTAAATCTTGAAGTTTCAAGTGAAAACTATTTGAATAAATTAATTTTATATTTGCTTCATTTAATAATCAAGCATTCATTTTTAGGCAATTTATTGTCGTTTAAAGCATTTGAATTATTTATTTAACATTTTTATAAACACTGTTTACAAAAGACTAAAAATTGTGTATATATTAAATTTATATATATTATTTAATAAATTTTTTGATTTATTGCATTGTTATGTTCTCAATGCAGTTTAATGATACTGAAACTATAACAAAATAATCATAATAATAATTTTAATATATTTATTTGATTTTATTTATTTATTTTTTCAGGGTTTGCAAGGGCTTCCTATTTTAAAGCAAAAGTAAAAAATAAAGGAGCATGTAAAGCATTTTGGCAAGGAGAGAAAAGATTTAGGTAATTTAAAACGTATTTTTTATAATAAATCTTGTGTTTTGCTCTGTATTAAGAAAACAAAATAAGAAATTGTCACAAAGCAAAATATCTGTCATTCAGACTAAGAGAAGCGTTATCATTTAAAAGACAATTTTAACATGTAGATAAATAGAAAATGATGATAACATTAAACAACTGATTAAATTAATATTCTGTTTTGAAAAGTATAAAATTATAGCCATTTATCTGTCAGTAGATTAGAAAAATATCATCATATTTGATTATAATTTTTTACAATTACTTTAATGAAGTATAAATGTTTTCAGATAATGAATGAAATTTCTGTTCATAGCAGTTAGAATTGTAGAATTTCAAATTTAAAAGATTTAGTGTTATAAGATTCTAGATTATATGAAACTATTAATAAGCAAAAAGTTGACTTTTATCTATAATATACATAATATACAGATTGATTTTATAATTAAAAAATAATAAGATAACAACAACAAAAAATTAGTTTTATGCTTCTTATCATCTATATATTTTTTTCATATAAAAATTTGAAATATTATGTGGTTTAGCAAAGCCAAATTTGAGGAACAATTCAGAGGTGGAAACCTTTGCAATTTCAACTAAACCTTTTTAAATGCTTACAAGATATGCTCTATTGGTTTTCGATGATGATGAGTGCAGTTTCTCCACATGCAATGATCTCTTGAGCTCAAAGCACCAATCATTCCCAATCATTAATATCCAGTTAAAAATCTTAGCACCCAAATAATCATTTGAATGACATGGTCCATTTTTCTGATCTGGAAAACATTTTTTCAATTTTCACACAACCTGCAATGATTGTTGACAAGCTTAATTTGGAAATTCCAAATTTCTGGACTGTTGTGTACGTAAAATAAACAATTAATTGTTAACGTATATAATTAACTTTATTATAATACAAATGTAACTTTGTGCCTCCAGGTCTAAGTGTTACAACAGCTAACGCATGACTGACTAGAGATAAAGGAACATGGTAAAGGTCAGAGGTGTGAGGTCACCTAACTAGGTCAAGGGGCAATTCGGTGTGGATTATCCCCTGGAAGTTTACATACATAACATGGACTATCTTATTTTTCTTTTGACCCTCGTCAACATCTTTCGGAATTTCTAATTTCTTTGTAATAGAAAGATACTTATGCTGATTCCTGGTACTGCTGCTGGCCATATTGTTGGAATCAGCTATTGAAGTTATTGTTAAATATTATATGACATTGATATGTACAGTACAATGCATTGTGCCACAATAATGTTTGTAAATATTTTTCCCTTTACATAATAAAAGGTTAGTGGCATTATTGACTTCTCTGGGAACTGTTGGTTTTGGTGACTCTTTTTACTGGTTATGGTCCCTTTTCAGTGCTGACCTTCCGTGAGTCAAGTCAGTGTTATCTTTTGTGCAATCTTTGTTCTTTTGTCACATAACCAGTTACATGAGTCTAACCAGTTTTCCTAGTCTCAAAAAGCAACATCCAGTCTAACACATATGAGATAATTTAACTGGTATATGCTACAGTTAAATTACCTCATATTGTACAAAGAGTATACCACAGAATATGTATTGCAGTATGGGGGTACAAATATCGTGTGAATGAATCAACACGATAAAATATAAGTGTTCAACCAGGGGATAAATTTATAACAAGCGTACTTGGTGGAAACAACGCTTATTAAGGGGAATCCACTGGACTCAATAGGGACTAGACAAGACAACCATTGAATACTATAACAATATTTCTTTAATATACTTGGGAGGATACAGTACTTCCAAGATAAAGATGCGACACAAGAATACAGAGTCCGACAAATCTGGTATATCGCGAATCGATAACAAAAATCTCCCGACAATGAATTGCTCAAGCTGACGTAACAAGAATACATGGAAACATACCGACATAAATGAGGCTTTGACGATCTTTTCTTCTCTTCCACTCCGGGTAGGGAAAGGTTCCAAAGTTCTAAAAATCTCTACGGACTTGCTTGCACAGGCTCTATATCTTCATTCCCGCACTTCACTCCACTGTCCACGCTCCTCTGCCGTTTTCTCCACTCTCCACTTCCCTTCACCCCTCTCCCTGAGACACACCCCGTCCATAAAACACACACCCCTGAATTACATAACTCCTCTCCACCGAGTTAGACCCACCATGTGGCGAAGGGGGGCAAGAACAGACGTAAGACACAGCAGTATACTAATCTCAATGAATGAATGTATGGGAAAAACTGTTACAGCTGCAGTGATCTAAATGTATGATGAGTTTTCAGAAGGAAAGATTTATGGGAAGTTTTACCATGCCTATCACAGAAGGCCAAAATGCAGAGAATATGACATCAGGGTTTACTTTAGACAGATTGTTTTTAGAGTAAATGACAGTTAACAGTTTTTTTTAACTATTTTTACATGATGTCTTCTGTATAATACACAGTGCCATCTAATGGCTTTTGGAAAATAATGTCATTAATTTCTTGCAATGTGAGAAACTCTTGAGAGAAGGATGGTTTGTTAGTTAGGATGTTCCATTATTTTGGATGAAAATTACATGTTGTTATGTGGCAAATTGGTCAAGACTAGAGTTTTTGTTTATTAATTAGGATGTTTGTAATTAGGATGCTTACTATATTTAAATATGATTTACTATGATTATTCATTACTAAATATTAACCAGTTACATAACTACACTGTTTTTATTTTAGGTTTTTTATCCGCCACATTATTAAATTGCAAAGTTTTTATTGGAGTGTTATTGTACTTGTCTTTCTAAACACAGTGTGTGTTGCTGTTGAACATTATAATCAGCCTGAATGGCTGACAGAATTTTTATGTGAGTAAAGCTATTTTTATCTGATTCATCTTATTTTAAATATTTACAGAATTTTATACTTTATATTTATTCATTTAACTTACAGGCTATTTTAGATAGAATTATGAATTAAACTTTAACCAAAATACTTTTTCTAGAACAAAAATACAATAAAAGAAAATGGGAACCTGTCTCTTTTATTTTTTACTTCTTTATATAAAACATTTTTGTTAATAAAATAATTGAGATTAAATACATATTTAGTTATTTCAAGTTTTTCTGTCTTATTTATTCACAAAGGAAAACAAAAATAAAACAATATGAAATATTGACTAATGCTCAAAATTTTAAGAAAATTATTTTAGATTTATTAAATTATATATAATATTTTATTGAAAAATATTAACATTTAAAAATTAACAAAAAGATATTACAGTAAATTAATTGAATTTTCAGTTTAGTTGTGTTTAAACCAGGGGTGAGCAACCTTTTTAATCAACGGGCCAATTTAAATTTTAAAATTTTTTGGCGGGCCGCACATAAAGTAACACTTATTAATAATTTACAAAACTTTATTTATAATAAACATTAGAATAAAAAAATATAAAATTTTAAAAAAGTAAAGATTTCATATACAAATTTTAATGCAAAATAAAAACAAACAAGAAAAGAACAGAAAAACGAATTTACTTGAAATTTTTAATGAGAAATTTGGCACTGTTTTTTCGATACAAGCTGATCAATATCAGCCGGAATTGATGAGGTAGCTACACGTACGCAGCTTTCTAATCATGCATCACCCAGTCTTGATCGGTGGTCATTTTTGATTAATTTCATGGTTGAAAATAATTGTTCGCAAACATACGTACTTCCGAACAGAGACATCATTTACTTTGCATTTTTCGTCAAAAGCGGAAATTTCTCGGGGCTCACATAAGATTTATAAAAATTTTCGATGTTTACTGAGAAAAATACATTTTTTAAATCGGTATTATTCTGCATGTCAATCACTTCCATTTGAAAGTCTTCGGGAACTGTATCCACATCGATATTAAATGGCGAGGAAAACATTTTCATGGAAACCGCTGTCTTCTCAGCTTTGAACATTTGGAAACGTAATTGAAATTCGTTGATTAAAATGTTTATATATTGCGCGTATTTTTGAGAAGTAGTAACGTTTTCTTTTTCTAAATGTGGAAAGTGAGACACATTATTCTGCAAAAGATTCTGTTTCCACAGTTTTAATTTGCGCTCAAAGCCCTGAATTTTATCATACAAATTGTGAATAGTTTGTATGATAAATGTATGTGTCCTTTGCCTTGAAGTTCCACATTAAGATCATTGAGATGCTGAGTCATGTCGATAAGAAACCCAACATCGCAACATCCATTCTTTATTACCAAAATGAGAAAAGGCATATCCCTTCATATCCAAGAACAATTGTATTTCGCTGTTGTTGTATACTCTTTTTAGCATTGCACCTCTACTAAGCCAACGTACTTCGGTATTTAAAACTACGTCGCCATATTCAGTTTCTAAATCTTTCAGGAATTCCTTAAATTCACGGTGATTTAACGCGCGCGACTTTATAAAATTGATTAGTTTAATTATTGGTACTGTGACATTTGGCAAACTCAATCTTTTCGCACACATATTTTCCTGGTGAATTATACAGTGGTTAACGAATATTTCCCTTCCTGTGACCTTCTTAATGTATTGAAATAGCCTTCACGATACTCCTACCTCCATGCTTGACATTGCTCGTGCTCCATCTGTCGACATATCAATAATCTTTTCTAATGAAATTGAAAAATTTTCCAACACAGACTTTAGTTCATCGTACAGGTCTTTGCCGGTTGTAATCCCTTGCATTGGAATCAGTGAACACAATTCTTTGGTAATATTAAATTTGGTGTCAATACCACGTAAAAATATAGCCAGTTGTGCTGTATCGCTAATATCGCAACTTTCATCAAGCGCCAAAGAACAGTATTCGAATTTTGCAATGCGTTCACGAAGCGTTGTTGCTATGTTCTCGGACAAGTCTTCAATTCTCCTTGCAATGGTGAATCTTGATAAACTAATGTTTGAAATAATATTTATTTTATCAGGAAATGCTATTTCTGCAACAGCAGTCAGACATTCTTTTATCATCTCTCCATCCGCAAAGGGTTTCATTTTTTTTGCCAGTATTTGACTGACAACAAAACTAGCCTTTACTGCCGTATTTGATAAAATAGCTTGATTTTTAAAAATAGCCTGTTGTTTTCCCAAGTTTTTCTCCATTTGATTAAACTTATCTATCCGGAGTTGTCCTGTTAAGTTTTTATATTGTTGTTCATGTTTTGTATCGTAATGCCTTTTTATGTTATATTCTTTTAATGTCGACACAGTCTCTGAGCATATTAAGCATACAGCTTTATCTTTGACGAAAGTGAAAAAATAATCAAATTTCCACTTTTCTTGGAAATGCCTGTGCTCATCCGCAACCTTCCGTTTTTTTTTGTTTGCTTTTCCGACATGCTATTATGGATTAAAAATTTGAAAGTTAAAAAAATTTGTAGGAAAACTTAATTTTGAATAAAAAAAACTCTAATATTACCTTTATGGCAATAATATTGCACTCATGCCTTTCAATAAACACAAGAATTGCTAAAATTGCTAGTTAACAGCTTACCAGTCTGACTGATTGTGTGACAGAAGCAAACACAAACAAGTACAGACGCAGCGCGTTCGTATTGCATGTTTGAACAACTCGCCGACAAGTGAGTAACTCGTCACAAAAATTGTTTCGGTTTAGTATGTACTACCATTTTATTATAAATAATTTTATAATAATATATTGATAGGAGAAAGTCAATAAAATAAATTCAATTTTAAAAATGCTTGGCGGGCCGCATAAACATGTTTAACGGGCCGCAAGCCGCGTGTTGCTCATCCCTGGTTTAAACTGTTTAACTGTAGACAGGAAAATAAGCTAAAATTTATTTGCATAATTTTAAGTTATTATTTTACAAATTTTATTTTACAATATTGTTTAAAGTTTTCTCAATACAAATTTTAATCTTTATTGGTAAGTTTAATAAACTAACTATTTCACATAAATTATTTTCAAAAATTTGATTTATGTTTAAAAATAGACTTTCTGACATCACTTTTGTCATCAGTTGGAATATTTTTTATGAAGATTTTAAGCTTATGCTTTTAAAGGATTCTAAACTTTCAGTTTCATCTAATGTGTTACAGGGGGTCTTGTTTTAATGAGTATTCATTGTCTGAGTCCCCATAGTTATGTGTTCAAAAAATTGTGGAACACAACTTAAAAATTTCCCACACTTATGAGGTTTTTCCCAGCGGATGGTAACTTCCTCTTACATTACATGTTCTATGTGCACATTGATTTATATCATCATACACAGGGTGCATTATTGGGCATGCATTTGTTGTTTCAGTTTTGGTTCTAGCTGGTTTTTCTGTTTTGCTTATCAAAATTATATCAATGAAGCATAGCAAAACTGATGATGGAGTTCCTAAAAGGAAATGTGCTTCATACAGTCTAGAACATAATATAATAACAGAGTATATTATATATTATAATATATAATACAGGTATCCCTTGATTAACACAGTTAATTAATTCCATGATCCTACTGCACATATCAAAATCATGTTAATCAAAATATAGTGTCTATGTTAAGTAAAGACAGCTGGTAAAGCCACATAAATTAAAATTTTTGCTTCATATATAAAGGGATTGCCATAATTAGTTTTGTGTATTAATTAAATCCTGCATTAAGCAAAACTGCATTAAGCAAAGGATACCTGTATTTAAGCAAAGTAAACATATAATTGAAGAAATCAAAGGAATTGCATATGGACTTGAATAAAATTCCCAGTGAAAATGGGTAATTGTTGGTTTACATGACACAGTTGCAAAGTGTGACAAAATTGTCAATTATTTTCTTAAAAGTGATCCAGTTTATGAATGGGCAAAAAAATTTGAGTGTGGGATGAAAGACTTATAATCTTGTAATAAAACAACATTAAATGAAAAATTAATATAAAAGGCATTAAAGAACTTTTTAAAAAAATGTTTTAATATGTCGTTTTCAGGAAGAACTGGAAAGAAATAGGTTTTTGAACAAGTTTTTAAATTGGAACAAAAACGGCATTAGCTGCGTATAACATAAGTTTAAAAATAAAGAATTAGATTTAAAATATGCATGAAAGTTCTTTAATGCCTTTTTATGTGAATTTTTTTCTTAAATTAGTGAAATTGTTGGCATGACGTCCACTCTACATATTTAAGTTTAATTAAATGAAAAAATAAACTGAAGGAAACATCATACTTTAGCATACTTTAGATTCATTTTTTTGTATATCAAAACTCAGCAATCAGTGAAAATGATGAAACACAATCATNTGACTGGTTACTTAATTTTTCTTTCCAATTATTTATTTCCTTGTCCATTTGATCTAATTTCAATTCAATTATTTGCAATTGTCTCAAATTCTGCGTGAATAAAACACAATTTTATGCATGATTTATTGAAATAAAGGGTAAAAGCAATTTTTTAATGTAAATAATAATATATAATCAAATATTCACTTGTTCTCTTTCTTTTTTGATTTCGGTCAAATCATTCTTTTTACTATTTAATTCATTAAGAAGCTTGTTATATTTATTTTTAAAAGTTTTAAAGTATTTATTCTTTTCAATAGCAGTTTTCTATATGATTTCAGACTATGCAGAATTTGTATTTTTGGGACTTTTCATCTTTGAAATGTTTATGAAAGTATATGCCCTGGGGCCACGCCTCTATTTTGAATCGTCTTTCAACAGATTTGATTGTGTTGTGAGTATGAAAGTTATTTCTGTTTTATAAATTATAAGAAATCAGTAACATCAAGATAAAATATTTTTTTTATTGATTTACTGAAAAATTATATAGTAGCATAAAAATGGTCATAATTTTTTTCTTTGTTTTATATTTGGAATTTCAGACAAAATCTTTTTAGATTATAATTTTTTTTTTTTTTTGAAAATGTCATTCCTTTATTTTATTAACATCCTTTATTTAAGGATGTGAATAAAATTATCACATTATCATTTACATAATTCTAAATTTTCATTAGTGTTACACACTGTTATATTAAGTAAAAAAATTAAACTAGTTTTAAAGCATACACTTGTTTAATATTCTTTAGATGTTTAGTTTAAACAACTGTTAGAGTTTTTAAGACATTTTATATTTTATTTTATTAGTTGAACGAATTATTCATTCAAAGTTACATAAGATGCATTCATTTTCATTTTTATTAACATTTACAAAATGTGTTTGCAAAATCAAAAAATAAAAAATAACTTCAATATTGCATTCTGCAGGCAGACAAACAAAACTTGGAATTTTAATATTAAGAAAACTCAAAATTTATTTAGTATTGCAAATATTTTAGTAAATCTTTATGTTGATTTTATTGTTATACGTATTAAAAGTAAATATCAAAATAATTTCAATTTACTTTAACATTTTATTTTATTAANTATTAATAGCAAGGTTGAGGCCAAAGTTTTAAATGCGAAAACGTGTATGTCGGACATTTAGTGCTGCTTTCCTGTAAACCTAGAAGTTTGACAATGGTGTTTGGATAGTCAGTGGAATCATGCTCAGCATTCCAAACACCATTGTCAAACTTCTAAGTTTACAGAAAAGCAGCACATAAGTAACAGTTCACAATGAATATATTTTTATTAAATTGAAATAAGAAAAAAAAACAATAATTGGTTAATTGTACCAACAGTTGACTAATTGAATATTTGACAAATATACTAAATAACAAAAAGAATAAACAATCAATCAAAGAAAATCTCACTTCATATAATAACAAATCCAAAAATTTCACCTCCACCTCAAAAAAAGAAATACATCAAAGTATACAGCTTACGCTAATCACTTCTCAGAGACGTGTCTACATCATTCGTCACCAGGAGCTACATCACATGGCTGTATTGGATGTGCCGTCTTTTATCCAATGTTCAGTCCAGCTTCGCACTGCTCTAATTTACATTATTTTGCTTCATGGGATCAGTCACTGATACAAAATTAGTATCTCTGCCTTTTTGACTTTGTCACATGTGCTTAAGAGTTTGTCCTTAAATAAAAAGACACCTGAAAAGAAAATAACTAACTAAAAATAATTTTCAAAAACATAAAATAATGGTTGGACATTGACTCCTTTACATAATTACCAGATATGAAATGAATCTACATTTCAAATAACACTGATGCTGAAAAACAGATTTTTAAGGTGTCCATAGATTAGATCTTACCATACAAAATAGAACAGAATTTTTCTAGAACTGTTTTTGTTTTTTTTTATTTAAATTTAAATATAAGTTTATTGTCAGAATGGCTTATCTAATTAAATAAAATAAGTGATACATTTTTAGAAGTAGAAAACAAAAAGTCAACATAAAACACAATAAAGTCAACTAAAAATAAATAAATAAATAAAAGTAAGCAAAATAAAATAAAAAAGAGTAAGTATAGTATGAATAAGTATAATATTCCATATGAAAAATGTCTATGTATGAATTTAATGACTTTTTTGATATTGTTTATGGCTGCATCTATTAGTCCAAAGTTTAAGAACTTTTTAACCAATCAATTCATTATTTGGGATAATTCTCTTATTGATCATCAAATTTATGAGTCATACCACAGGTTGGCTTATAACTTTTTATTTATTTCATATATTATTATTTTTTATTTCCTACTCTTAAAAATGTATTGTTTATTTTAATCAGACAAGCCATTTTGACAATCAAACTTATATTTCATTTAAAAAAAAATTTTCTTAAATACGGTTTTAGAAAAATGCTATTCTATTCTGTAAAATGAGGGAATTTCATGATAGGAGCAAATATCCTGAAAAATGTTTTATTCATAAATAAAAGCAATCTGTGGACTCTTTAAAAATTTGTTTTTTAGCATCAGCATTGTTCAGTATATATTATGGAATCAAACATTGTTAAGGAACTGTATTTTATAGGATTATTAGAAAAATTATAAAAATCAATTACATACAGACTGTACTTTATAAACAGACTGTTTAAGACTATGCTGGTAATAAATTATTTTATTTGATCTTATAATAAAATAATTTCATATAATTATGATAAATGATCTTATTTCATTAGTATCTTATTTAATCTTATTTTAAAATTATATAGGTTATTTTAGGAAGTATATTTGAAGTTGTTTGGTCTAGTCTTAGAGACGGTTCTTTTGGACTCTCTGTACTTCGAGCCTTACGACTTTTAAGGATATTTAAAGTTACAAAGTAAGTATCATAAAAATATTTTATTTATACATGACATACATGAAAATAATTTTTTGATTTACAGTCGACCCCCCTATAAGATCATTGATTTTTCCGTTTTATCTGAATTACATGTTGTACGAGTCACTTCGATTTTACAAATACGTGTGCCGGACTGTGAATGGCTCACATATTTGTAAAATCTAAGTGACTCGTACAACATGTAATTCAGATAAAACGGAAAAATCAATGATCTTATAGGGGGGTCGACTGTAAATCAAAAAATTATTTTCATGTATGTCATGTATAAATAAAATATTTTTATGATACTTACTTTGTAACTTTAAATATCCTTAAAAGTCGTAAGGCTCGAAGTACAGAGAGTCCAAAAGAACCGTCTCTAAGACTAGACCAAACAACTTCAAATATACTTCCTAAAATAACCTATATAATTTTAAAATAAGATTAAATAAGATACTAATGAAATAAGATCATTTATCATAATTATATGAAATTATTTTATTATAAGATCAAATAAAATAATTTATTACCAGCATAGTCTTAAACAGTCTGTTTATAAAGTACAGTCTGTATGTAATTGATTTTTATAATTTTTCTAATAATCCTATAAAATACAGTTCCTTAACAATGTTTGATTCCATAATATATACTGAACAATGCTGATGCTAAAAAACAAATTTTTAAAGAGTCCACAGATTGCTTTTATTTATGAATAAAACATTTTTCAGGATATTTGCTCCTATCATGAAATTCCCTCATTTTACAGAATAGAATAGCATTTTTCTAAAACCGTATTTAAGAAAATTTTTTTTTAAATGAAATATAAGTTTGATTGTCAAAATGGCTTGTCTGATTAAAATAAACAATACATTTTTAAGAGTAGGAAATAAAAAATAATAATATATGAAATAAATAAAAAGTTATAAGCCAACCTGTGGTATGACTCATAAATTTGATGATCAATAAGAGAATTATCCCAAATAATGAATTGATTGGTTAAAAAGTTCTTAAACTTTGGACTAATAGATGCAGCCATAAACAATATCAAAAAAGTCATTAAATTCATACATAGACATTTTTCATATGGAATATTATACTTATTCATACTATACTTACTCTTTTTTATTTTATTTTGCTTACTTTTATTTATTTATTTATTTTTAGTTGACTTTATTGTGTTTTATGTTGACTTTTTGTTTTCTACTTCTAAAAATGTATCACTTATTTTATTTAATTAGATAAGCCATTCTGACAATAAACTTATATTTAAATTTAAATAAAAAAAAACAAAAACAGTTCTAGAAAAATTCTGTTCTATTTTGTATGGTAAGATCTAATCTATGGACACCTTAAAAATCTGTTTTTCAGCATCAGTGTTATTTGAAATGTAGATTCATTTCATATCTGGTAATTATGTAAAGGAGTCAATGTCCAACCATTATTTTATGTTTTTGAAAATTATTTTTAGTTAGTTATTTTCTTTTCAGGTGTCTTTTTATTTAAGGACAAACTCTTAAGCACATGTGACAAAGTCAAAAAGGCAGAGATACTAATTTTGTATCAGTGACTGATCCCATGAAGCAAAATAATGTAAATTAGAGCAGTGCGAAGCTGGACTGAACATTGGATAAAAGACGGCACATCCAATACAGCCATGTGATGTAGCTCCTGGTGACGAATGATGTAGACACGTCTCTGAGAAGTGATTAGCGTAAGCTGTATACTTTGATGTATTTCTTTTTTTGAGGTGGAGGTGAAATTTTTGGATTTGTTATTATATGAAGTGAGATTTTCTTTGATTGATTGTTTATTCTTTTTGTTATTTAGTATATTTGTCAAATATTCAATTAGTCAACTGTTGGTACAATTAACCAATTATTGTTTTTTTTTCTTATTTCAATTTAATAAAAATATATTCATTGTGAACTGTTACTTATATGTGGTTGTATTAATTATTATTATTAGCTTTTGATTTAAAAGTCCAGGCCTAGTTCTTGAACTCTAACATTGTGTAAACCCAGTTCTTTTTTTTTGCGTTACAATTATTATTAATTTTTTTCTTTAAATAGTCTCTTTAATAGTTATTTATAAAAAAATTCTTGACTTTGAAAGTACTCTAAAAAGTTGGTATGTCAATAACAAATATTTTAATTATGAATTTAAAAAACGATATATTATTATTTTTTCTCTTCTTAACAATTCAATTTTATTAATGCTAATTTTTGTCTTTTCTTAATAAAATAAAATGTTAAAGTAAATTGAAATTATTTTGATATTTACTTTTAATACGTATAACAATAAAATCAACATAAAGATTTACTAAAATATTTGCAATACTAAATAAATTTTGAGTTTTCTTAATATTAAAATTCCAAGTTTTGTTTGTCTGCCTGCAGAATGCAATATTGAAGTTATTTTTTATTTTTTGATTTTGCAAACACATTTTGTAAATGTTAATAAAAATGAAAATGAATGCATCTTATGTAACTTTGAATGAATAATTCGTTCAACTAATAAAATAAAATATAAAATGTCTTAAAAACTCTAACAGTTGTTTAAACTAAACATCTAAAGAATATTAAACAAGTGTATGCTTTAAAACTAGTTTAATTTTTTTACTTAATATAACAGTGTGTAACACTAATGAAAATTTAGAATTATGTAAATGATAATGTGATAATTTTATTCACATCCTTAAATAAAGGATGTTAATAAAATAAAGGAATGACATTTTCAAAAAAAAAAAAAAATTATAATCTAAAAAGATTTTGTCTGAAATTCCAAATATAAAACAAAGAAAAAAATTATGACCATTTTTATGCTACTATATAATTTTTCAGTAAATCAATAAAAAAAATATTTTATCTTGATGTTACTGATTTCTTATAATTTATAAAACAGAAATAACTTTCATACTCACAACACAATCAAATCTGTTGAAAGACGATTCAAAATAGAGGCGTGGCCCCAGGGCATATACTTTCATAAACATTTCAAAGATGAAAAGTCCCAAAAATACAAATTCTGCATAGTCTGAAATCATATAGAAAACTGCTATTGAAAAGAATAAATACTTTAAAACTTTTAAAAATAAATATAACTTGAAAAAATGTAAACAAAATAATTATTTAACTAATTATAATTATAATACAGGGAGTCCTCATTTAATGTGGATAACCAAAACCAAATACTTACCACTTTAAATGAATCTATGTAAAGCAGGGATATAAATTCATAGAATATCATATGAAAAATATTTAATTGGGAATTCAATAAAACAAAACCAAATGAAAAATGTGAAAGAAATCTTTTTTATCCCTATTTACACATATGTAAAAATATTTATTATTAATATAATTGAATATCAGAAATTATTTATAAATATTATTTATAACTAAATTTTAGAAAAGCATGATTGTGTTTCATCATTTTCACTGATTGCTGAGTTTTGATATACAAAAAAATGAATCTAAAGTATGCTAAAGTATGATGTTTCCTTCAGTTTATTTTTTCATTTAATTAAACTTAAATATGTAGAGTGGACGTCATGCCAACAATTTCACTAATTTAAGAAAAAAATTCACATAAAAAGGCATTAAAGAACTTTCATGCATATTTTAAATCTAATTCTTTATTTTTAAACTTATGTTATACGCAGCTAATGCCGTTTTTGTTCCAATTTAAAAACTTGTTCAAAAACCTATTTCTTTCCAGTTCTTCCTGAAAACGACATATTAAAACATTTTTTTAAAAAGTTCTTTAATGCCTTTTATATTAATTTTTCATTTAATGTTGTTTTATTACAAGATTATAAGTCTTTCATCCCACACTCAAATTTTTTTGCCCATTCATAAACTGGATCACTTTTAAGAAAATAATTGACAATTTTGTCACACTTTGCAACTGTGTCATGTAAACCAACAATTACCCATTTTCACTGGGAATTTTATTCAAGTCCATATGCAATTCCTTTGATTTCTTCAATTATATGTTTACTTTGCTTAAATACAGGTATCCTTTGCTTAATGCAGTTTTGCTTAATGCAGGATTTAATTAATACACAAAACTAATTATGGCAATCCCTTTATATATGAAGCAAAAATTTTAATTTATGTGGCTTTACCAGCTGTCTTTACTTAACATAGACACTATATTTTGATTAACATGATTTTGATATGTGCAGTAGAATCATGGAATTAATTAACTGTGTTAATCAAGGGATACCTGTATTATATATTATAATATATAATATACTCTGTTATTATATTATGTTCTAGACTGTATGAAGCACATTTCCTTTTAGGAACTCCATCATCAGTTTTGCTATGCTTCATTGATATAATTTTGATAAGCAAAACAGAAAAACCAGCTAGAACCAAAACTGAAACAACAAATGCATGCCCAATAATGCACCCTGTGTATGATGATATAAATCAATGTGCACATAGAACATGTAATGTAAGAGGAAGTTACCATCCGCTGGGAAAAACCTCATAAGTGTGGGAAATTTTTAAGTTGTGTTCCACAATTTTTTGAACACATAACTATGGGGACTCAGACAATGAATACTCATTAAAACAAGACCCCCTGTAACACATTAGATGAAACTGAAAGTTTAGAATCCTTTAAAAGCATAAGCTTAAAATCTTCATAAAAAATATTCCAACTGATGACAAAAGTGATGTCAGAAAGTCTATTTTTAAACATAAATCAAATTTTTGAAAATAATTTATGTGAAATAGTTAGTTTATTAAACTTACCAATAAAGATTAAAATTTGTATTGAGAAAACTTTAAACAATATTGTAAAATAAAATTTGTAAAATAATAACTTAAAATTATGCAAATAAATTTTAGCTTATTTTCCTGTCTACAGTTAAACAGTTTAAACCAGGGATGAGCAACACGCGGCTTGCGGCCCGTTAAACATGTTTATGCGGCCCGCCAAGCATTTTTAAAATTGAATTTATTTTATTGACTTTCTCCTATCAATATATTATT